GGTTCTGATGGTCAGAGGCTGATCCAGGTTCCAGACTTCTGGTTCTGGTCTTCAGCAGCTGATCCAGGTTCCAGACTTCTGGTTCTGGTCTTCAGCAGCTGATCCAGGTTCCTGTGGGGCGTTAAAAATCACAACATTTGAACCTCGGCAACATCATTAAATATTTTTCACTGGTTTTGGAGAAAACGAGAAGTGATCTTGGAAACGGGTCATCGGGTTTGTCGCTCACACGTGGAACCTTCGTGAATTGTTTCCGATCGCGTGTTGGACGCATGACGGGAGAACCTTCAGAGCAGAAACGAACAGCTCAGGAACCACAGACCTGCTGCAAATCTTCTGTTTTATCTCCTGCTCTGAGGCAGCGCAGCAAACGGGGCGTGGTCGGACACATGCGAGACACATGGTCCATCACTTCCTGTTGATGGACATCATGAAGTAATAGAAAAGAGAAGCTTGTGGTGTCTTCTGTAAAACAAAAGGTCGTGTGATGGTCACAACTTGTGAACGTTATGCTTCAAGTTTGTGTCTGTGCGTCTTTCAGGCTCAGATGGTGCTGCTGATGGAGGACGACGACGGCGCCGACGCCAAACACAAACACTTCAACTACGACCGGATCGTGGAGCAGCAGAACCTGAGCAAGAAGAAGAGGAAGAAGCTGCTGAAGAAGGGCAAGGAGCTGCTGGAGGAAGACCAATTCCAGGTGAGACTCCGGGTCTCCACTTCCCAAGGACGCTCGCAGGGGACAGAAACCCTGATCCTGTCTCTTGTCTGTCCATCAGGTGGACGTCAAGGACCCTCGCTTCCAGGCCATGTTCACCTCCCACCTCTTCAATCTGGACCCCTCTCACCCCAGCTTCAAGAAGACCAGAGCCACGCAGAGCTTCCTGGAGGAGAAGCAGCGCCGCCATGCTCAGGAGGCCACGCCCACACAGGAAGAGCCCACCCCCAAACAGGAAGCAGCAGAGACGAGGCGGGAAAGTGACTCTGAGACGCAGAAGAAGGGGATGGACCCGAGTCTGTCGCTGCTCGTCAAATCCATCAGAAGTAAAACGGAGCAGTTCCAGGCCCGGAAGAAGCAGAAACTGGTTTAGTTCAGAACCACCTGTCGGGTCAAGTCCTCCTGATGGAGCAGAACCCACTTCCTGTTGACTGGACTTTAAAGAACATGACGAGACAGAAAAACACGTTGGAATGTTTTATTATCACGTTTTATTACAGAACCTCTGCCAGAACCACGTCAGGTTCTGGTGTCAGTCTACAGCTTGAAGGCACTTTAATCACAAACTAAAGGATCAAACTATTAATTATTGATTGATAATTAATAATGATTACTTGTGATGTTTTAAAGGAAAATCTGCTGACTCATCTAATCCAACAGAATCAGGAAGTAGAACTTGACTGTTTCCTGTTTCTCAGCCTCTGAATAGAAAATGTTTCAGGTGGTTCTGTTCATTCTGTGAGCTGGTTGTAATGAGCAGAACCGACCCGGTTCTGAACTGATCTGAAGCCACTCTGCAGTAAAGTGTTAAATTCGGACCAGAACCTTTCGATCCAAACTGGTTTTATCTCGTCCGATAAAGAGGTTTGTTTTGGGTCACCTGGTTTGGAGGGAACAGAACCAGCAGGTTCTGCTCCGGTCCACGTGTCACATGAGTATAATAAAGATGAACTGGAGGATTCTGGGTCGTTTAAGAAGTTCTGTGGTTCTGGTTCTTCAGATTGTTCAGGTACCTGAGACAAAGATCTCTGAAATGGTCCAGATGTTGGTTCTGGAAGCTGTGGACCTGCAGGATGTTAACCTTGATCTCACGGGTCCCGTTCTGCAGCTAAGGTCCAGGGTACTCGAACACGGCGGCAGCTCCCATGCCGGTTCCGATGCACATGGACACGACTCCGAAGGCCCTGCACACGACAGTCAGAACTCAAGACACGACCCGGACGGGTTTCTGTGACTGACCGGCGCCACACTGACCTCCGACCTCGGCGCTGGAGCTCGTTCAGCAGCGTCACCACCTGCCGGACCCCGGTGCAGCCCAGAGGGTGGCCCAGAGCGATGGCGCCGCCGTTCGGGTTCACCTTCTCCGGCGGGATGCCCAGTTTCTCCACGCAGAACACAACCTGGACCAGGGAGACCACAGGAAGATAGGGTCAAAGGTCAGCTGGACCCAGAGCAGCTTCCTGAACCTGGAGGAAGAGTTTAACTGGTTCTGTCTCGGTAATCCAGAACCTCAGACCAGAATCGCATCTGTTCTATAAACCTCTGCTGGATGAACAGATCCGGATTAACTCCTGACTGTTGCTGGTCTTCTGATCCTGGATCTGGAGAACCTGAACCTTTCTGCTGCCTAAGAAGGAACGTCATCTGAAACTGATCCAGGACCTGACCTCAGCCTACTTATGAAGGTCCAACAGAACCGGTTCAGAGAGACAAAACCAGAGGACAGGTCCTGATCCTGAGCTCTGAGGGATTACTGTATCTGTTGCCATGGAGACGAACCAAACCCAGTTTAGGGTCTGGTTTGGACCCACCTGGCTGGCGAAGGCCTCGTTGATTTCAAACACGTCGATGTCGTCCAGAGTGAGACCTGAGGAGCAGAAGCAAAAATAATCTAAATGTGTTTATTTACAAAAATTTAATTTTAATTTGCAAACATTAAATCAAAATGTTATTTACAATAATTAAATGTTTTTATTTACAGTAATTAAATGTATTTACAATAATAAAATGTTTACTTACATTAAATCTAAATGTTTTTATTTACAATAATTAAGTACCGGTAATCTCATGTTGAGATTATTTAAATTCAAATGTTTTATTTAAAATCCCTCCAAGATTTTTCATAAATTTAATCTAAAAACAGTTTTGTTTTTATTTGTAATTGTTTACAATAATCTGATCACAGATAAAAGTTTGGGTTTATAGGTTCTGGTTCGTCTTGGATCAAAGTTACCCAAGTTACAGTAATCTGATTACTCGTCAGGCTCACCTGCCTGCTGCAGCGCCGCGGGGATGGCCAACGCCGGTCCGATCCCCATCACGTCTGGGGGGACCCCCATCACGGCGCTGGCCCGCAAGACCCCTAGAACCGGCAGACCCAGAGCCTCCACGGCCGACCTGCGGCCCAGCAGGACCGCCGCCGCCCCGTCGCTCACCTGGCTGGAGTTACCTGGAACACAGGTGGGAGTGAACGCTGGCAGACCAGGACTGGTTCTAAAGTCTGGCCCAGGTTCTGACCTGCTGTGGTGCTGCCATCAGGTTTGAAGGCAGGTCGGAGTTTAGAGAGTCCGGCCAGTGTGGTTCCGGGTCTGACGCCCTCGTCTTTGCTCACAGTCACCTGACGCTCGGCGCCGCCATCGTCCAAGAACCTGACGGTGACCGGAACTATTTCCGAGTCGAACCGACCCGAGTTCTGGGCCTGGGCCGCCCTGTGTAAAGACAGGAACGTCAGAGAACCATCTGGTGAATGATGTTCTACTGGGTTCTGCTGGGTGGATCAGAGGAACAGAACGGGTTCAAATAAAAACAAGAAAATCTGATTTAGGTTCTGCTTCAAACTCGTTCTGAGACGGTCCAGGTTCTGTAGAACTGGAGGTTTACTGCAGATTGAATAAATCTAAATCTTCCTAATCTGAAGGACTCGACAGATTAATAATCCTGAAGTTAAAAACGTTCAGCGAAGAACAAAAACAACAAACGAATCAAAGAGAAACAGACTGACTTCATCTGGGAGCTGAGGGCGAAGGAGTCCTGTTTATCTCTGGAGACGCCGAATCGTTCCGCCACGTTCTCCGACGTGATTCTGCACGGAACACGAGAACATGAACACGTTCTGAACACGAGAACATGAACACGTTCTGAACACGAGAACATGAACACGTTCTGAACACGAGACCATGAACACGTTCTGAACACGGGAACATGAAAAGGTTCTGGTTCTCAACAGAAACGTGGTTTTATTACAGACTGACAGAAAATAAATCTGAATTCTGGTGAATGAAACAAACCTTTTAAATTATTTATAAACAAAACGTGTAGTAAACATGTTAAAGTTAAACGTTAGAAGCTAAAAACAGCTGATTAATTCAGTTTGTGCAGACGATGTTGAAAAAACAAAAACAATGAAAAGTTAACAAGATAAAACTTTTTGTTTTGTACAGGGAGTCTGATGATCGGATAATCTCAGATTAATTCTATCAGATTAAATGCAGACAGAAATAATAAATCTGACATTTTCATTGTGTTCTGAAACTAGAGCTAAGATTTTATTACTTTGTTTGAAAATATAAATTTACATTAAAAAAATCACATTTACAGCAGAAAGAAGTTTATGATCTTAACAGTTTGATGTTTTACTAACACAGTGATGATGCTGGGAGATCAGTTCTGGATCTGATCCAAGCTCCGTGAACTGAACTCTGGGTGGAGCTCGTGCAGAGACTCACCCCATCGGGACGATGCAGTCCCGGGCCTTCTGGTTCTCCGTCAGGTCGGGGCTCAGGTCCCCCGGGTCGTTCATGGCCCGCAGCGACATGCTCTCCACCCTGAAACACAGAACCCATCGGATCGAACCGGTCCATCCTCTGAGGTCAAGACTCGGGTCTCGCGTGTCTTGGCTCCAGGACCAGGAGCCGTTTAAAAACGCTACGACTGAACTTGTCGGCTTCTTCTCACCTGTCAGATGTTCTGTTGAAGAACCGAGGAGATCCGGTTTTTACTCTGCTGCTCCTCGTTTCCTTTAAAACTCCACTGAAGGCCCAGTTCGATCTCACGGTCTTCAAACCCGCCTGAGTTCAACATTTTTATTCCCCTTTTTCAGCCTGACGTTTTATTTCATATTTATTCTTGATCAAAAAGTAAAATGTTTATTTTTGCTAATAAATACTGCCGTAAAATATTTATTTGCATCTTGCTGGACCTTTTATGTGTACTACTACTGACTTTAACGTTCTTACAAATACATTTGACAAAGAAAACCTTCAGAAAGTCTGGAGAACTGAACCTCCTCCTACCCCAGAAACCATACCAGAACCAGGTTTAGAGCCAGGTTCTGGACCAATGGGACTGTTTCTACATGCAGCTGTGTGTTGGTCCTCACCCGCAGGCCAGGCCCAGGTCGATGGTTCCGCTCCGGATGGTTCCTGCACACAGGTAGAGTCTTGTTTAATTGACCTCTGAGCCTCTTCTCCACCCCCACCCCCCCCCGACTGCAGACACACATCTGGACTGAGTCCCACCTTCAGACCGGCTCATTGAACCAGATGTTGGCAGGCGGCTGCAGATGTCACCTCCATCACCCTGACCTTTGACCCCTCTCACCCTGACCTTTGACCCCTCACCTGGCCCAGGTCAGGACTTACCTGCGATGTTGAGGAGCGCCTGCAGTCCGGAGGAACACTGACGGTTCACGGTGTAAACAGGAACCGTCTCAGGGAACCCACTAAAACCAGAAGCGAACAGAGACTCTGATGACAACTTCCTGTTTCCTGTCCACGGGGGCTCTGATCTTAAAATGTTCCCACTTTTTTCCTTTAAGCTTTCAGCCAATAAAACTTTAGTTTATTTTTGTTTAAAGAGTCAGGCTGACCTGAGGAAGTGAGCCACTCGGGCCATCAAAGCCCCCGCTCCGGGCTGCAGAACGTTTCCTGTAAACAAAAACAACAAATAAAAACACGACCGTTAAAGTCAGACCAGAAGCCAAGTCTGACGGTCTGAAACGTTTAATCTAAAAACTAAACAAACTAAAAACTTCTGCTCCTCATTGATCAGTTTGTTATTCGGTCATTGGGTAGTTTCTGTTACAACCATCTGACACTCCACGTTCTGTCCATTTGTAATATTTTAATTTATAAATAAAGTTATTTTACAATCTTGACAGTAGGATGGGAAGCAGCCTCTGCTCTACACCCTGCTGGACAAAACTCTGGTTGGACAGAGGTCAAAGGTCACGTCTCACCCACACAGATGTCCCCCAGTCTGTCTGGGTCCAGTCCAACATCTCTGAGGACGGCGCTCATCACGGCGCTCAGCAGCTCGTCAGGTGTGGCGTCCTGCAGGTGGGCAGAAGCTTGCCTTCATTAAACGTTCTAATTAAACCACAAAAACTTTTATTTTCTGTAACAAATCTCCCCCCAAAGATTAAATTAAGCGCAGAAATAAAGTCGGTCCAAAACTAACAAAGTCCTGTCAACCCGACCCACATCAGAACAACCAGAGCATCAGGATCATTCCCTTTAAAGGATTAGGTCAGCTATTGAGTAAAACTCACACGTGATCATCTTACCTGCTGTGCATAGGTCTTTGAAAATCAAAATATATTTTTATTAGAAACAGAACTGGAAGCCTGAAGATGAAGCCACAAAGGATGAGTGCCCCCTGGTGGTGGGCTGCAGGGCAGTTTTTAAGCTCCGCCCCTCATGTAAACCAAAAGAACTAAAAACTATTCAGTCTGGTAAGGTGGGAGGATGAGGAGGCGGGGCTATCCAGTGTACCGCCCCTCGTCCAGAGCGCTCGGACTCTGACTCTAAAAATACACGAAGGATAAATTTCTGAAGTTTGTACCCTTGAAGCTTCTCTTTGGTACCAAAACTATGACGAGCAGCTTGAATCTACACGACCTCATGATGACCCAGATTTTGTTTGATCAGCACGTGACGGTCCCGTGTGATATCGGGCCACGTGGTGCTTTGAACACGGGCTAGTCTAACTCAGCGGAGTCCAAAGTGGATTTGTTGCATCTGAAATCATCTCAGAAACACCAGCTGATACAAGCATTATTTTATGAATTATAAACATTAGCATTACATAAACCATTACTTATACAGAGTCTGTGTGTTTTATCAGAACAAACCGCAGCAGCAGCATCGTTTTAAAAACATCCAGGTTCACGTCTGTCAGGGATTCTTAATATTTCAGCTGGAGAAGTTGTTCAATTTGACAGTGATTATTTAAATAACGGTATTCACAAAAATCCACTAAAAAACTTTCAACATCTTTGCTGTTAGATTTAGCCATTAGCTTGTCTGTCAGAAATCGAACTTACCAACAGAGCTATTCAAGTTCAAGTTTCTTTATTGACATTTGCATCACATGTGGTACAGGAAGTGGAATGGAATTGTGTACTCAAGATCCCAGCTACACCCCAAAATAGCAAAAATATAAAATATTTTTAAAAAGTATATAAGGATCTAAGATATACGCTAAACGATTCACAATATACGCCAAACACCAAGGCAGCCGGCTTGGGACCCGAAAGTCCCAGGTTCGATCCCCAGTCACTGAACATCACGTGGCGTCTCTGGGCAGCACGCCTCATCCCCAAAATGCCCCCTGGGCGCCTTCAATAGTTGCCCACTGCACCACCCGGTGGTGGATGGGTTAAATGCAGAGACTAATTTCACCATTGTATGGAAACATACAGTGCTGACATTGTGATGACATTATTATTATAAAATAAACAGCAGCCTGAACATGAGTCTGCAGCAAGCAGACAGCAAGTATCTACAACAGGTAAGATGTTGCTTGTTTTTTAACAGACTTCAAAATGACCGACCTGAACCTCTCAGAGAGGAAAACTAGAAAAACACGTATTTGTCTGAGGAAAACAACTTTTGACCCTTCCTGCTTTCTGTATCGTTATAGTGGGCGGTGCTCTACGAGTGAGGGGGCGGGGCTGTTTCAACGTCGGGTTTCCTCGGTAAACTTCGTTTCAGCTCGTGCAGTGTGTTTTGTTACCTTAAAGCCGCCTCTCTTGGCTTTCCCAATGGCGGTCCTCCGTCCGTGAACCACCACCACCTCCTCCCCGGAACCTCCCACCGCAGAGCCGGTCTCTGAGCTCCGCAAGTCCCGTCGGAGCTCCGAGGAGGAGCCGCCGGGACATAAATGTCCAGAAATTATCTTCAGCCTGTTCATGACGGGAGGAACAAACAGCCGGAGCTGTCAGAACCACACGGACAAAAAGATCCGGACCTGTCAGAACCACACGGACTAAAAGATCCGGAGCTGTCAGAACCACACGGACTAAAAGATCCGGAGCTGTCAGAACCACACGGACTAAAAGATCCGGAGCTGTCAGAACCACACGGACTAAAAGATCCGGACCAGTCTGCAGCTCCGTGTACTTTAAACCGAGTTTTTCTCCTGGTTCAAAGGTCAAACAGTGCGTGGGATCGGTGGCGCCCCCTGCTGGACTGGTGAACAAACTACATAATAAGAATTAAACTACCAGAAAGCATAATGATCTAAAACTGTAAACCAAAGGTCCAAAAAAAATTATAATCGTTATTATTGACCTGTAAACGACACATGATTCTGACATATGGGTGTTTTCTCTGAGCGTGTGTCAATGCCGAGTTCATAAACGACGTTTTTTAAATCAACGGCCTGAAAGTCCAGCGTGAACCTCCAGCTGTAAACCCAGCAGGACTGAGATCTTAGTTAAAGTTAAAGTCTCACGTTTCCCCTCCATGAAATGATTAAACATAATTTTTAATAACATTTTTGACATCTTGAGTGAAAACACAGAACCCGGATCTAATCATCTGAATTTTATTTATTATTTTATTAACAACCGGACGTCGATAAGGCCACAACAGGCAACGAACAAAAATCAGATCGAAAACAGTTTGTCCTCAGGCTGTGAAAGCAAAAGAAATTAATCTGCACATTTATGACAGAACCGAGGGGTTCTTCAGGTCCAAAGGTGATGGTTCAGAGTAAAAAAAAAAACCAACAACAAAAAAAAAACCCAGGAATAAATAAAACGACTAAAAGAAACGACCCAGAACTCTGCAGGCAGATTCAGATGTTAAAACACAAAGACTGAGCACCAAATGAACTTCACAGTTTGGTCACGGAGGCCTGGACTCCAAACGGGTCAGAACCAACTATCCGAGAGCTGCAGAACAATCCTTCAGTCTGCAGCAGGACAGGTTCTGATGGTCCTGGCCTCCCTGGAAGTCCTGCTTTAAGGCATCAAACTGAAAACCTGCTGAGGAGGTACAGAACCACAGAATCCAAACAAACCTCACAGCAGGAACTGGTCCGGCTTGACCCTCACAGCTGGAACTGGTCCAGATAAACCCTTGCGGTCGGAGTTCTACTGAGTCCTGAAGGTAAAACTCTGGGTTCTGGTTGTAAAGCTTTAGATCTTGAAGGCAAAACTCTTTTGAGTCCTGACTGTAAAACTAAGTCATAACGGTAAAACTCTGGGTTCTTCCGACTAAAACTCTGGGTACTGACTGTAAAACTATGTCATAAAGGTAAAACTCTGGGTTCTGATTGTAAAACTATGTCATAAAAGTAAAACTCTGAGTCCTGACCG